AGCAAGTGAAGTCGGTGATCTTATTTCACCAGTGGTTTGGCTTAGAGTTGATGAGCAGAAGAGATTGGTGTAGAAATTCTCTGCGATAGATGGCATGTTTGTCGGGAGAAAAGTGGGAGTTCTGTTTTCGTCAAACTTGCTGTAGGAAGTTGAAATGTTCGCCATGCAAATTTTTCGCAGCGCTGTGTCTATTCAGTGTGCGAGTTCACCTTGGAGTTGGCATCTTTCTGCGATATGTGCCACTAGCCGGTATTTACGATGTCATAGGTAGGGCAGATTGCTACTGGCCCTGGGAGCAAGAGAATTTGTGCATACGCATCGTCTTGATTTCTTTTGAAAGGTATTTATGGTGGAAGCATTCAGATAACAGTCTAGTCAATTATAGCGGGAGCCGTTACAATGTTTTAGTGGATGCGTCGCTATTTTTACTTGAATCAACCAAGAACTCACGATTATGAAACGTCAATCATCATGCCTCGAAAATAACATTTGAAACAGTTAATTGCATAAAATTTGCAAAGACAATATTTTCGTGAATCAAGGAGCACATGTTATGGCCACATCTTATGAAATTCCAGCAATAGATCGAGTCCATAGAAAACTGTCAGTGGTTGTGTGTTAGCTGTCCAACAATACTGCCTTGAGATAGAAGAAAATATCGTCGCTACAGGTGATGGCGAAGAGCCTGAATAAGAGTTTTTTGCAAACATCTAAAAAATGACCGAAAATTGGAAAGTGTGATAGATACGGATGGATTATTAACATAAGCAATGTGCACGTAACTTCGCAACAAATATTCTAAACAAACTGATGCACTAAAGCAATTTTACACGTGCTATTTGCCGATGAAAAACGATAGCGTATTTCCAAGCAATCCGCCTCCAGCAGCCCAAAGAGATCCGGTCCCTAGCGGATTGAAGTAGGAATAAGAAGGATAGTAGTACGAATTGTAGAATCCAGGGTAAGAAGGATAATAGTAGTTTCCGAAAGAATTGTACGGGTTGTAGTATCCAGGGAAGAAGAACTGAAAATGTGTTTACTAATGCGATGCTGACTTTGGAGAGTCGTACGCAAGATCTTACCTGTCGCTTAGCTCTCTTCCTAACATTCGTAAATTTGGAACGCTTTGAGGCGAAGTTGGGAACTCTTTGGTGCATCGATCTGCTCACCTAAAGCCAAAATATAACAGAAATCGCATTCGCACACTTTCGGAGTTTTTCTTCTTTTTCTTATTGTCATCATTTGCTTCATTTTATAGAATAAAGGTCCGAAACATATGTATAGGATGTCCCAAAAAAGTGAACACTGTTTGATCGTTAGTAATTTTCTTTCTTTCATGTCTTTCGCCGCGCTTGAGGTGCCATTCTGTAGAGCGAGGTTCTCTTCC